CAAAGAAAAAATAAAGTTAAAAAAAGTTTGCAGGCTGGCAAGACAGTTCAGAGATTAAGAGCACTGGCTTTTCTCCTAAAGGTCCTGAGTTCAATTCCCAGAAACCACATGGTGGCTCACAACCAACTATAATGAGATCTGGTGCCCTCTTCTGGCAGGCAGGTATATGTGCAGGCTGAATATTGTATAGATAATATTATTTTTAACTTTTTATTAATTACACTTTATTCATTTTGTATCCCCCCATAAGCCCCTCCCGATCCCACCCTCCTTCACCTTTCTGCATGCATGCCCCTCCCCAAGTCCACTGATAGGGGAGGTTCTCCTCTCCTTTCTGATCTTTGTCTATCAGTTCTCATCAAAAGTGGCTGCATTGTCCTCTTCTGTGGCCTGGTAAGGCTGCTCCCCCCTCAGGGGGAGGTGATCAAAGAGCAGGCCAATCAGATTATGTCAGAGGCAGTCCCTCCTTCCCATTACTATGTAACCCACTTGGACATTGAACTGCCATGGGCTACATCTGTGAAGGGGTTCTAGGTTTTATCTCCATGAATGGTCCTTGGTTGGAGTATGAGTCTCTGGGAAGTTCCCTGTGTTCAAATTTTCTTGTTCTGTTGCTCTCCTTGTGGAGTTCCTGTCCTCTCCAGCTCTTACTATTTCCCACTTCTTACATAAAATTCCATTCACTCTGCCCGACAGTTGGCCACCAGGCTCAGCATCTGCTTTGATAGTCTGCAGGGCAGAGGCTTTCAGAGGCCCTCTGTGGCAGGTTCCTAGTTTGTTTCCTGTTTTCTTCTGGCTTTCAGAGGCCCTCTGTAGCAGGTTCCTAGGTTGTTTCCTGTTTTCTTCTTCTTATGTCCATCCTCTTTGCCTTTCAGGATGGGGATTGAGCGTTTTAGTTAGGGTCCTCTCTCTTGCTTAGTTTCTTTAGATGCACAGATTTTAGTGGGTTTGTCCTATGTTATATGTCTATATGAGTGAGTATATACCATGTGTGTCTTTTTGCTTCTGGGACAACTCACTCAGGATGATCCTTTCCAGGTCCCACCATTTACCTGCAAATTTCATGATTTCCTTATTTTTCATTGCTGAGTAATATTCCATTGTATAGAGATGTACCACAGTTTCTGCATCCATTCTTCAGTTGAGGGGCATCTGGGCTGTTTCTAGCTTCTGGCTATTACAAATAAAGCTGCTACAAACATGGTTGAGCAAATGTCCTTTTTGTGTACTTGAGCCTCTTTTGGATATATGCCTAGGAGTGGTATGGCTGGATCTTGAGAAAGTGCCAGATTGATTTCCAGAGTGGTTGTACAAGTTTACATTCCCACCAGCAGTGGAGAAGGGTTCCCCTTTCTCCACAACCTCTCCAGCATGTGTTGTCACTTTTTTTGATCTTGGCCATTCTGATGGGTGTAAGGTGAAATCTCAGGGCTGTTTTGATTTGCATTTCCCTAATGGCTAATGAGGTTGAGCATTTAAGTGCTTCTCTGCCATTCGATATTCCTCTATTGAGAATTCTGTTTAGCTCTGTTCCCCATTTTTTAAGTGGATTACTTGGTTTGCTGCTTTTCAGCTTCTTTAGTTCTTTATATATACTGGATATGAGTCCTCTGTCAGATAAAGGGTTGGTGAAAATTCTTTCCCAATCTGTAGGCAGTCGCTTTGTTTTGATGATGGTGTCCTTTGCTTTACAGAAGCTTTTCAGTTTCATGAGGTCCCATTTATTGATTGTTGTTCTTAGAGCCTGTGCTTGTTGGTGTTCTGTTCAGGAAATTTTCTCCTGTACCCAATGAGTTCTAGGGTATTCCCCACTTTTTTTTCTAGCTGATTTAATGTGTCTGGTTTTATGTTGAGGTCTTTGATCCACTTGGACTTCAGTTTTGTGCAGGGTGATAAGTATGGATCTATTTTCATTTTTCTACATGTACACATCCAGTTGAACCAGCACCATTTGTTGAAGATGCTATTTTTTTTTTCCATTGTATGGTTTTGCCGTCAAAGATCAGGTGTCCATAAGTGTGTGGGTTTATTTCTGGGTCCTCTGTTCGATTCCATTGATCCACCATTCTGTTTCTATGCCAGTACCATGCAGTTTTTAAAACTGTTGCTCTATAGTACAACTTAAGATCAGGGATGGAGATACCTCCAGAAGATCTTTTATTGTAGAGGATTGTTTTAGCAATTCTGGGTTTCTTGTTATTCCATATGAAGTTGAGAATTTTTCTTTCCAGGTCTGTAAAGAATTATGTTGGTAATTTGATGGGAATTGCATTGAATCTGTAGATTGCTTTTGGGAAGATAGCCATTTTTACTATGTTAATCCTGCCAAGCCATGAGCAGGCTTTCTGATATCTTCTTCTAATTCTTTCTTCAGAGACTTGAAATTTTTTTCATACAAGTCTTTGACTTCCTTGGTTAGGGTTACTCCGAGGTACCTTAGGTCATTTGTGGCTATTGTAAAGAGTGTTGTTTCCCTAATTTCTTTCTCAGCCCTTTTGTCTTTTGTATACAGGAGGGCTACTGATTTCTTTGAGTTAATTTTGTATCCGGCCACTTTGCTGAAGGTGTAGGAGTCCTATCAGCTGTAGGAGTTCCCTGGTAGAGTTTTTTGGGGTCACTCACGTATACTATCATATCATCTGCAAATAGTGATAATTTGACTTCTTCCTTTCCAATTTGCATCCCCTTGATCTCCTTCAACTGTCTTATTGCTCTAGCAAGGACTTCCAGACCTATGTTGAAGAGATATGGAGAGGGTGGGCAGCCTTGTCTTGTCCCTGATTTCAGTGGGATTGCTTTAAGTTTCTCTCTGTTCAGTTTGATGTTGGCTATAGGCTTGCTGTATATCGCCTTTATTATGTTTAGATATGTGCCTTGTATCCCTGATCTCTCCAAAACTTTAAACATGAATGGATGTTGGATTTTGTCAAATGCTTTTTCAGCATCTAGGGAGATTATCATGTGGTTTTTTTCAGTTTGTTAATATGGTGGATCACATTGATGGATTTCCGTATATTGAACCACCCCTGCATACCTGGGATGAAGCCTACTTGGTCATGGTGGATGATATCTTTAATGTGTTCTTGTATTCGGTTTGCGAGTATTTTGTTGAGTATTTTTGCATCAATGTTCATAAGGGAGATTGGCCTGAAGTTCTTTTTTGTTGGGTCTTTGTGAGGTTTAGGTACCAAGGTGACTATGGCTTCATAGAATGAGTTTGGTAATGTTCCTTCTGTTTCTATTTTGTGGAATAGTTTGAAGAGAATTGGAGTTAGGTCTTTTTTGAATGTCTGGTAGAATTCTGCACTGAAACCATCAGGTCCTGGGCTTTTTTTTGGATGGGAGACTTTCGATGACGGCTTCTATTTCCTTGGGGGACATACGACTATTTAATTGATTTACCTGGTCCTGATTTAGCTTTGGTAAGTGGAATCGATGAAGAAAATTGTCCATTTCATTTAGATTTTCAAATTTTGTTGTGTATAGACTTTTGAAGTAAGTCCTAATTATTGTTTGGATTTCCTCAGTGTCTGTAGTTATGTCCCCCTTTTCATTTCCGATGCAGGTATATGTGCAGGCTGAATATTGTACAGATAATAAATCTTAAAAAAAAAAAAAAAACCCTGCGTAAGTCCACACTGACTACTGAGTGCATCTATGTGCACTCATGTCACACACACACACACAGAGGCATGTACACATATCAGCAGGCAGGCTGCATGGCATAGAGGTCAGAGGACAACTTTTGAGAGTTTGTTCTCTCCTCCCACCATGGTTCTAGGGTCAAACTCAGGTTATATGGCAAAGTTTTTGACCCATTAAAGCCCTCTTTCAGGCCTAGCTTCCCCACCCACTCTGGTGATGGGAAACCAAACCCAGGATACCTATTAGGTAGATATTCGCTCCCTTTAGCACCATCTTCAGTCTATAATAATTGATCATTTTCAACAGTTCAGCACAATGCCAATTAAAACAAATGTTTACATGACTAATGTATTTTGTGACATATCTTTGAGCTCTTGTGCACAGGCTCGTGGAGCCCACTGATGTCCTCTTCAATTCCTCTGCATCCTATGTTCTGAGGCAGAGTCTCTCACTGAATCTGGAGCCCACTGATTCAGCGACATTGGCTAGCCAGCAAGCTCCAGGGATCCAGCTCTCCCTGCCTCCCTCGCTCTGGAATTAGACAGGTATGACCACACGTAGCTTTTTTTGGGTGCTAGGGATCCAAACTCAAGCCCTCATGCTTGCATAGCAAGCACTCTACTGAGCCATGGCACCATAGAGAAAACATTTTTTATTTAGTTGTATTTAACTAGCTAAAATCCTACAGACGTACTATTAGGCCTATCCTATTCCTCTGAGATAATTAGCTACTTTATGAAACCAGAATTTTTACTTGTTACTTTAAGTTTGAAAAAAAACAACTTATAGAAAACATGAAGAATCATATGTTTGAGCCTTACCTTTTCTTCATTAATAGACCATTTCTACAGAAATAAAAAGTAGGTGCATATAAGCACATAATAAGAGGGAGAGGCTAGAGGAATGGTTCAGCAAATAAAAGCTCGGGACGCTCTTCCAGAGGACCTGGGTTCAATTCCCAGTGCCCACAGGGAAGATTATGACTGTCTGTAACTCCAGGGAATCTGACAGTCACCTTCCTTTGTTTTCCATAGGTACTACACGCAAACAGTGCACACACATATACTGTAGGCAAAACACCCATATATGTACAATAATAAAAAACAATTTGAAAAGAACACAGAAAGAGAAAACTGAGCAGAGATCTGGGTACACGAACATCTTCACATACATATTACAGACTGAATTTCCACATCCCACCAACAGGGGTAATCCACAAAGATGAGGTATACACGGCTTAGTGCATGTCAGTGTTCACTGGCTAAAACGTTTGGTTAGAACACTGCACTAACATTTCAGAGCTACTCTGGTTGAATCCATTTAAAATAAGGGCAAAGACATTCAAAACAAGCACATTCTTCTAACAGCAAGGACTCTTCCCACTTTATTTTGACATCATGATAGTTCCATAAATTTAAAGTGGAAGACAGCTGTTCAATAAAAGCCATTTCATATATGTATGTATATATATAATATATGAAGTTATTTTAAAAGTCTGTCATATAACAGATTCATTTGGTACTACCAAAAACTTACAATACAAATAAATGACTACAAAGGAAACCATCACTAACCTAAGACAAACAGGGACTACACTTCACTTCAGGGGGGAAATGAGTTCTACCACATTAAAGGAATCAAGTCCATTTGTCATAGTGTGCATTATCATAGTCCCTTAAAGCAGGGACTCTTTAAAATGTTTAAATTTAAAAATGTTCAGGTATAATTCTGTCTGTACATTCAGGAACAATCATATTCTGATTACATACAATGCTTTCACTGTGCAAAAAGAGCCTCAGTTAACTATTTCCTATGGTCTACAGTCAATGAGCTAATAATACTAGCCATTTACTGGTCAAGCTGTCAGACAAGTATAGAGATGAAGCTGCCCAGCTATCCTTCCTGCTGTAGTACAGGAATACTAGATCTAGTTCCTTCCTGTATTAGAACTAGCAGGTGCCAAAATGAGAATTCATTCTGAACCAAATAACAGAAAATGCAGTAAGAGTTCCTCATGTCCAACAGCCTTTGTAATCCAGTAATACAATCTTTACAGTTGTATGTGTATAAGCAGAAGGGAATAGGGAACAAGAGCAGGTTAAGACAGGTATATAAATAGGGAACAGAGATAGCACATGATATTAAGAACCTTATCTGAAGTCTGCCCAGTGTACTAAAACAAGCAGAGCAGATGTCAGTGCAACTTTAACCTGGTAATTTATTTGAGTGTGGGTGGGAATGGGGGAAACCAATGTGGATGAAAAAAAATTCATTCCTTTCTTTTCAAGCACAAAGAAAAGCAACAGGACTTTTAAAGGTCAGATTAGAAAATGAACAGTAATTCTTAGAAGCCTTCTCAATTAGCCAAAACAAGCTAAAGATAAATGTTGAAAAATATCTCTCACCCTAAATATTTATCCATCTATATATCCCACTGTATGAATAGGCTTTTGATTAAAAGAAACATCAAACTACCCGCCCAAACATTTTAAAAGAGGTACCACCATATAGAAGTGACAAAAATAAATTAGTTTCCCCCAATGACAATCTCTAAAGCATAAAAAGCTATATAATAATATCTTATACAAATTAACCAGTGTTCTTACAAAAGTAAAGCAGTTTTGGACTAATGACATTACACTGTATTTGTGGTGAAGTATGAGGCACAAGAATATATGCATAATTAGGCATTTTCCATCTAATCAGTCTCTATGGTTATCACTTAATTCTTGGCAATATATAACTGGTGTGGATTTTGGTAAGTCACGAATTGTAGAGAACAAGAAGCAGCGTTTATGGTAACAAGGTTTGTATTTGACAAACGACTACGTTGCTGAACACATTTCTTTTATGAACTTTGTGATTCGTGTTGCAGATGACCACTTGCTGTAGATCCTGCAAAGATAAAAGGAGAAAAAGCAGTATAATTTGCTGTTATGGTTTGAATATGAAATGCCCACAGGCTCACGTGCTGAGGGCTTGACTCTACTTTGAAAGGCACTAGAACCTTTAGGAGGTAGAGCTTAAGCTAGAGGAACAGGACACTATCCTAGTGGCTATACTGTGCCCTGGCCCTCCATGGTGACCATGATGTGCTCTGCCTCCCCACAGGCCCACAGTGACAGAGCCAAGCACACACGGATTGAAAACCCAGCAGCTTTACGCCTCCCCCGTCCCAATCCTCTTAGATTATTTCCTCAAGTTTTTATCAAAGCAAAACAACAATAACAAAAACCTATGACCAACTCTGAAAAACTGTCTAAATTTAAACTCTTCTCCTGGCATGGGTAATAAGCAAATATAAAAACCTTAATAAGTCAATAAGATGTGTTTCATGTAGGCTAAATTAAGACTGATTTGAAAGAATCTAGGAAATACCACTAAATGTTCTAAAAATAGTAATACCTATATGGAGATAGAGCAAATAGGTTTCAGAATAGACATTGTAAGTAATCACAGAAGGAAGGTTAAGTGTTAAAGCCCCACCTACCTGATACTAAGCAAGTTCACATTACCTGATGTTATCAGTCAAACACATCTCTATTTATGGAAACAAGCAAACAGAGGGATGAGACAAAAATAAGAGAGAAGAGAAGATGAAGGAAACTGCCAATGTTCTAAAGCACAATGTTTACAGAACATGAGTGCTTTGAAGGTTGGTTAAGAAGTATTAAGATCCAAATATCAGAAGTTAAGAAACTTGTCTAACTAAAGCTTATTGTATAGTTTGCCCCATCCTTGTGTACTTTTATGATACTATGAAAGTTATACTACTGTATAAGGGTACTTTAATTTCCACTTCAGACAACTCAGGAACTGAGCTAACACAAAATTTACACTCTATTATACTCACCTAGGAAAAGATACCTATATATAGTCTATGAAGTTTAAAGTCTTATAAGCATATATGAACAAAAGACCAGTTAATTTTTTCAGGAGCTATTAGGCACAGTCTAGTGCAGCCCTCAGCCCTCACTAGAGACATTTCTCTATACAGTAGAGACTGCTTAATATTCACAACTGGTCAAAGTGAAGAAAGCAAGTGACCGTGGATGGTCAGCCATGAATGGGAAGAAAATCTGCACCACCCCATCATGGCTCAGGGAACATGAAAGAAGACTGGCAAGAACCAGAAGGTGGGACGGACTGCTGGGATGTAGTGTCTTCTGGACATGACAGGGCCATTCTACTCAAGAACCCAGAGCAGCTGTGGTTGTCTGCATAAGATCAAACCAGTCAAAATTCCAATCTGGATGGAGGAGGGGAGAGGAGTTCCTGGCAGTTGATGACTGCTGGGGAGAGTCAGTTTTGTTCAGAGATGTGGGCCTACTGAGTGCTGCAGTGGATGCCCTCCAGCTGTGCACAGGAGGGAGCACTGACTGGAGTCGGCGTGCTGAGAGAACACTAAGTTGGGAGGGGATGTGGTTGGAGGTGGTCCGGGAGGAGCTAGAGGAAAGACTGTGGAGTGGGTATGAGCAAAATATATGTAAAATTCTCAAAGAATACATTAAAAATGTTTTAAGAAAAAAATTAAGAGACAGAGAGAGAGAGAGAGAGAAAGGAATGAAGGGAGAAAGAGACACTGATTTTTCCTTTATCTTTATCATTGTGTTTAGTTGGGTAAAAAATTTCAGCAGCAAATGAGGAGTGTTCCTAACTTGTTACCACACACTGAAAGCTGTCAGCAAAAGCTGAATGAAGCTGATGAGAAGTTACTTAAGTACTTGGGGAGCGGGGTAGGAAACAAAGACTTCAGGCCAATTAGGAGACAGGATATACACTGAGGCATAACCCAGTCACTATTTATGATCAATTAAAAATAGATAATAGGAAGAGAAAGATTTAACAATTACTAGGATGAAGTTTGTTTAAGTTAAATAGCGTAATCCTGATACTATAATGAGATAATGACCACATCATATTAGAGAATTACTCCTATTTCACAGTTTGCATGAAAACAAAACTATTTACTTGAACCAGTTTAGGTCCCACAGATAAATTACACTGCCATAAAAGCCATCAGCTTACAAGTACAAAGTATAGGCAGTGAGTACACACACCATCTCAATAGTGGGGGAGAACAACACTGAATTTTCTTTCTTCCTTTCTTTTTGGTTTATTTATTTATTATTTGTGCAACAATCTGTACAACTAGAAGAGGGCACCAGATCTCATAGATGGATGTGACACCACGTGGGTGCTGGGCATTGAACTCAGGACCTCTGGAAGAACAGCCAGTGAGTGCTCTTAACCTCTGAGCCATCTCGCCTGACCCAAACACGTAGTGTTTAAAGCTTGGCTTTACCTCAATTTAAATATAAATATATATATATATATATATAAATATATATATATATGAAAATCAAAATAACTGTCAATGTAGTAAAGGAATGTCAAAACAAATCTTTCATATTAAAAAACTTTTTTTTTAAAGAAAAAAAGATATGGTAAGATATGGTGGTTAGTGTTTGTCTTGCCAGCACTTGGGAGGCTGAGACAGGAGGACTGCTTCGATTTCAAGGCCAGCTTGTGATACAGTATAAGACCATCTCACCCAAAACAAAATCCCACATAAAATACCTACAAACAACATTCAACAACAAACAATAACAGAAAAAAAAAAAAAAAACCAAAGTAACAACAAAAACTACTTCTTTAAGTTTTAATAATATGTGTGAAACACTGGTTCATTCTTCAATACTGAAAAACAAACTAAGAACAAAAAACAGGTAAAAAGTTTTAAACTTTTTTAGAAATAAAATTTTGAAATTAGTCCCAAGGATTGAAATTGTAGAAACATTAACACACACAATAAAGCAAATCAGCAAAATGCCCTGAGAGATTCCCAGAAGTTTAAGCACAACGCAGCCCCAGTGATACTTTTAAGGCATCTGACCTTGATCTGACGCTTCGATATTCATACTGCCTCCATCTGCAGCCTCTGACATTTCTTCATCTTCGTCATCGTCATCATGTAGCTCTTTTGAAATTAACTGTCTAGCTAATTTGATATTCAGTCCTTCGTTGTAGTGGAGCTTCCTTTTCATTTCAAACTGCCGCTTCTTTTCTAGAAAAGATTTTAAAGTGCACTGTAAGTTTTGACTGGGAGACTGATCCAGGCCTATTCTGTCCATGAGTTCTGCTGCGATACCACTACACTCATTTAAATGTTTCTGTTGGTTGAATACTGTTTTTGTGCTCAATGGCAGTGTCAGGTAGTTTTTAATAAGACCATGCAGCCTACAAAATTTAAAATATTTACCTTATAAAATTTTTGCGAGAAAAAAATTTTCCTAGTTCTGCTATATTTAAATGATTCAAGTATACACCTCAATCGATGAACAGGAATGGATAAAACCATTAGAAATTTTGTGAAGAGGGGCTGGAGAGAAGTCTGAGAGGTTAAGAGCACTGACTGTTCTTCCAAAGGTCCTGAGTTCAATTCCTGGCAACCACATGATGGCTCATAACCATCTATAATGAGATCTGGTGCTCTCTTCTGGCTTGCAGGCACACAATGCAGGCAGAATACTACATAAATAAATCTTTTAAAAAAATTAAACAGAAATTTGTGAAGAAAATTTAAAGATAGGAGAAAACTCTCCAGCAATAGCTGAATGGGAGGCAAAAGGTAAATACAATATGTATGAAGAATACACAAAGCCTGCAGACATACACACACACTACAAATAAGATCCAACCTTAACAGTGGTTAATTCTGGGTCAAGAATTATGAGCAATGTTAGTACTTTCCTTTCTAAGCATGCCACAACCTCAGGTTTCTCTATGCAGCCCAGGATGACCTACATCTAATTCTTCTGCCTCCCAAATGCTAATTTCTATTATAGAAATGCACCAGGGCTGGCAAGACAGCTCATCTGGCCCACATGGTAGGGGAAAAATGATCATTTCCTCTGCACCCTCCATCAAGCATATACATATATTTGAGCACAGAATAAATAAAATGTTCAAACTGCTAAAACAGGCACACACCACACTTGATTATGACTTCTACTTCACCAAGAAAAAAACTCCTTCTAAAAAAATCCTTATCTGTTTAAAAAAACATTAGTGGCAATTCAGTGCAACTGCCACATTTTACTCAAAGAACTTCAGTGGGGGCTCGTGGGATGGCTCAGGGGTTAAAAGCACTGGCTACACTTCCAGAGGTCATGAGTTCAATTCCTAGCAACCATGTGGTGGCTCACAACCATCCATGTGATATGTACATGCAGACAAAGCGCTCATACATTAATATATACATGTATATAAATTTTAAAAAGAGAATGCCATTAAACTGTTCATGAAGAAATAATGAAACAATTCTAAGATTTGAACCTAAGCACTCATATAAAAAGTCAAATACCCTATATCAGGCACATGCATATACTTACATTAAAACACAAATATATATACAAAAAAAAAAAAAAAAAGAGGCTGGAAAGTGGTTAAGAGTACTTGCAGCCTTTTGCAGAGGGATCCAGGTTCAGTTCCCCAGCACCTACATGTGAGCTGCTAAGCTGATTACCATAAGTAACTTCACAGTCCCAGGGGGATGGAGTGCCCTCTTCTGGCCTCTTTGGGAACCATGCACATAGGTAGTACATATAATTTAGGCAAACATTCATAAACATACAATAAAAATAACTTTAAAATGAATTAATACAGTAAAGCTATCAATAAAAATAATTTAAATTCCATCATCCTAGCTTTATCAACGATTTTAATCACAAAATAGCTACTACCAGAATAAGGATATCCAAAGTTCTTTCTCAATATGTTCTAATTCTCTCCCCTAAGTGTTATAGTTATATTATTACCAAGATCGTGTTAGTCATTTTTCTTTTTCTCTACTTATAAAATACTTTTGAGCTGGATAGTGGTGGCACACACCTTTAATCCGAGCTCGGGAAGCAGAGGCTGGTAGGTCTCTGAGTTCAGGGCTACCTGATCTACCAAATGAGTTGCAGGACAGTCAGGGCTACATAGAGAAACCCTGTCTTGAAAAACCAGCAACAAAACAAACAAACAAACAAAAAACCTTTTTGAGATGGGGGCCATCTCAGCACGCTGTGCAGATTGGTCTTAAAACCACAGACCCGTGGGCCCTCCCATCTCAGCCTTCTTAGTAGCTAGTGACAGGTACATAGGCATAGACCAGGCATCTATGACTCACTTTTTAATGACATCTTTACATTTGCAATGATGTGAAGGCAAAGCTAATATCTACCTACATCTTTACTCATCAAAGTAATATATGGTCTAATAGAAATTTTAGAAGAAAATCACTTGCCATTTCCTTACTCAAAAATGGGAGACAAAGGTGGTGAGTGAGATTCCTTGCCTAGTTCATGAAGCTCTGAATCTAATCTCAGACACAACAAAGCAAGACTCCCAGAGATTACTAACTTTTTAGCTACTTTTTTTTCTAAAAATATATTTTTACAAAAATGAATCAGATGTTAATTATTTGGTTCTGCACTTACTATTTTGTTAACACAATCATATATCCAAGTTTCTCTAGGACAGGCTCAGTGATCATTCCAACTCTGTAAAAAGTTTAGTTTCAAGGTGGTAAAATATAACTGTCTATTCTGAGCCAAAGGTTTCTGATTTCTCCCTATCTTGTCAACTTTTTTGTGATATAATTTATACAGTTTTTATGTACTCTATTATTAATATAAATGTTTTACAAATGTATATTACTCATTATAAACCATAAAATATTTAAAAAGATAAACTATATAGCATAAACTTTAATGAACTAAAGCTAAGTAATGTTATGTGATTATTTTTCTTTTGCCATTTATATGTACATGTAAACTGAGTAGGACTGGTAACATTTTTAAATGCCTGAAACAGGTGTCATACTTATCCATCCATCCAATGTAAGTAAGCCCACTCTATCATAGTCATACTAAAAATAAAATTGCCCTCTTCCCTTTTTGTAGTACTGGGGACTGAATCCTGGGTTCAAGTATGTTAGGCAAACAGCCTTATCAATGAGAAACACTCTTAGGCTAGCAGTTTTCTTTTCTTTTTTTTTTTTTAAGATTTATTATATATACAGCGTTCTGACTTCATGTACACCTGCACGCCAGAAGAGGGCACCAGATCTCATTATAGATGTTTGTGAACCACCATGTGGTTGCTGAGAATTGAACTCAGGACCTCTGGAAGAGCAGCCAGTGCTCTTAAAACTCCAGCCCTAGCCTGGCATTCTTAATCTTTGTTGGAATGAAAGGCAATACAAAGTTTACAATGCTTTTATTTTTTTCCAGATAGGGTCTCACTATGTAGTCCTGGCTGGCCTGGAATTCTCTATGGAGAGCATCATGGCCTTGAACTCACAGTGATCAGTCTGCTTCTGCCTCCCTAGTGGCGGGATTAAATGTGCAGTAGCACTCTCAGCTTCTGTAATGCTTACAGGTTCAATTTTTAGATTCTTATTCCTAGGGATTTATATTACAGTATTTCTTTCTGTATAAACAATGAAATTTATTATTCTAAGTTAAATAATTTGAAAATCTGTACAGGGAATGGAGAGACATCTTGTTATTTAAGCATTTACTGTTCTTGCAGAGGATCAGGATTCAGGTCCCAGCACCCACATTGTGCTTACAACTGACTATACTCCATTTTCAGGGAATCCAATGCCTTCTTTGGTACCAGGTACACATGTGGTACACATACATACATACAGGCAAACCACTCACATTAAAAGAAAACTCTGTAAAACAGGAGCTGGAAGTCACATGAACAGGTAAAATGCTTGCCAGAGAAGCATGAGTTTGATCAGCAGCACCCAAGTAAGCTAGGCATGGCACTGCCCATTTGTAATCCCAGGACAGGGATGCTGTGACAGGCAAACCTGGGTCATACAGCTCAGCCTAATTAATGAATGGCAGTCCTAGTAAGAAAGCCTCTCAAAAAACAGGGTGGGCAGCTCCTGGGGAGCAACATCCTCCCCAGACACATATACAAACTCAATCTTTGAAATTTCTTTCACAGTAAGCTGACATACGTGGCCTCCATCTCCCCCCCCCCCCAAGGCAGGTTTTACACATCCCCAGCTGGCCTCAAATACATTAGGAAGAAGATGAGCCTGAGCTTCTCACCCTCTACTTCCCTAGCACTGGGCTTACAGGCATGTGCCACAGCCCCCTTTACGCAGGGCTTTTTTATGCAGGGCTTCTTGCATGCTAGGCAAGTATTAAACCAGCTGAGTCACATTCCCAACCCCTTAATCCTCTTTTGATTAACATTTGTTACACAGTAGAGCAACATAATGCAAAATAATAAATAAAAGCACACTTAGGTTTTATGAGCTATATGAACTCAATCTACTTTTATGAAGAATATCTTGTTTAAGTTCTTAAAAGTTAGTATTTACTGACCAATTAGAATAAAACATGACCAATGCTAACTGCTTTAAAATACTTCATTTCATTTAATGGTCACCAACAGCTTAAAGTGTCTGAGATGGGGGGCTCACCAAACTTCCCAGGTTGGTTCTGAACTTGAAGGCTCAATAGTTCATCATGCCCCAGCCTCTTGAGTCACTAGTATCACAGATATGCATTGCCAAACCCAGAACTAACATAAATGAATGAATGAATAAATAAATAAAATTGTATTTCCCAATTTAGGAAATAAAACTAGAGGCTCTGTGAAATTAGGCAACTTAAATAAGTATCAGACTTGGAACATAAACTTGTATTTCTCAGACTCCACAACTAATAATTTTAACTGTGCTTTACATTAGAATTTTCTTCTTAATATCTAGGCTAGGCAAGCACAGTTGTGTACACCTTTAATACCAGCAGTGGGAGGCAGAGGTAGGCCAATTTCTGTGAGTTTGAGACCAGCCTGGTCTACATAGTGAGTTCTAGGACAGCTAGAGCTACCTAGTGAGACTGTCTCCAAAAAACAATCAAAACAACAAAGAATATCTGGGTTGGTTACATGGCTCAGAAGGTGAAATGTTTCAAGCCTAACAACCCAAGTTCAATCCCAAGATCCTACATGATGAGGAACTGCCTCCTGTTAGCTGTCTTCTGACTTCCTCATATGCTGGCTCAAGTGCCCAGACATTCATACAAAATAACAAATATGTGCCTAAAAAATGATATTGTCAGCTGTAAGCCCAGTACTGGAGGGGCTCAGGCAAGGAATCACTGTAAGTTCAAGGCCAGCCTAGGCTACTGTCTGAAAACAAAGAGATCCTTTGTAAATTCAAAATGTTTTCCAGACATATAATTATTTAAAGTGAAAAACATTTATATAATTTAGTAATTCTACCCGTAGGAAATCATTTAATAAAATTATATTATAGGTCAAAAGGTAGCCCCTTCAGGTTGACTCACGGAACTACAAATTGATGGATAATTACCCTTAATGAGAACTGATAATGTAGACCAATAAAACCCCCACCCTTAATAGATAAAATCTTGGGGAGAATGATATGGGAAAACCTAGAAACAATTTTTTAGTGGAAACCCTCTTCAAGGGCCCCTTCTGCTATAGTCAAGATTTTAATGCTGACAAGGCTTGGTTGAGATTCTGGCAGAGGCTTCACTAGTGCTACACAAGTGTTCTGCCACCAAGTTACAAGCTTTTGACTATTTTTAAGAGCGAATGGAAGAACTACGTATAGGTCATCCCTCAGTACCTGAAGGATTGGCTCCTGGACACCTTATAGACACCAGGATCTATGGGTGTTCAAATCTTTCATGTACAATGGTATACTATTTGCAAATAACCTTCATAATCTATACGTCCTGTCATTTCTAGGTTAAATGCTAGTCGCTATGCTATAGGGAATAATGACAAGAAAAAAAAAGTCTATTCTTGTTACACTGCTCATTTTTCTTCCCTGAACTATTTCTAAGTCATCATTGGCTGAGTCCGTAGGTTCAATATCTGTAGATACCAATGGTCAAAGGTTATTTTACATTCTTTTAAAGATTTATTTTTAGCCAGGCAGTGGTGGTGCACACCTTCAGTCCCAGCACTTGGGAGGCAGAGGCAGGATGATCTTAGTTTGAGGACAGCCTGGTCCACAGAGTGAGTTCACGTGTGCACACGTACACACCCGTGGGGGAAGTGCCTGAGGCTGGAGTTACCAGCAATGTGACCCGTCTGAACTCAGGTTCCCTGGAAAAGCAGTACACACTCAACCATTGAGCCATCTCTTCAACCGAATTTAATATTGAAAGATGATACATTCAAATGGCTCAAAAAGTATAAAAAACAGCAGGATAAGACATATTCCTATATGACCAATAATCCGCATAAACAAAACTACTTGGAGGCAGTAGTGCTCTCACTACATATGATCTAGCTGGACTACAAGAGCCTCTTTTATCTTGTAATGAGAGCTTCTGTAGCTTCTTTTCTAAGAGATCAATACTGTGTTCCCTAAGACCTATAACGACTTTATTCTATGTTTTATCATCTTGGTTCACTGGATAAATTTCACTATTGTTTGTCTGTTTGTTTTGTTTTCCACTTTCTTCAACACAGGGTCTTAAGTAGCTTAGGATGACCTTGTACCACACAGCCAAGAATGAGGGTGAACTTCTGATCTTCCCGCCGACACCTCTCTAGGCTGCTATTACAGACAACAGTTTATTCAGAGCTCTGTGCATGCTAGGTAAGCACCTGACCAACAGAGTTCAGTTAACTAACTATGCAGGGCACTCAACCCCAGCCCTGCATCACTTCATTAAAACAGAAAAGGCACAAGCAATGAGGCAATCCATCCACTTGAAGATAACTCAAATATTAAAGGATGCTAAAAGAATTAAGTATTTACTAAATTTCTACTTTTAATTTAAAAAAAATACGAAGGAATATTTAAAAATACTTGGATGATAGTACTTCTTTCAACTTAAATCAGGGGGGAAATACTAATATATAAGAAACTCACATATGTAGAATATGATCTACAGATTCTATTTTCTTTTGTTCTTTATTTTGCTGCCCACCACTTCTCAAATATGAAATTAATTTTCCAATCTTCCAAATCAATTTATTTCAACAAAAAGTACTGGCATCACACTAACAGCAGCTGAATGAATAACCTACCTCGCTCTTCAGGGGAGAGGTCATTATCTTCCTCTCCACTGCTTTCTTGTTCCCGAGTCCGATACTTCGGCTCTGATCCTTCAGCAGCAGCTAATCTACACAATAAATATTTATGAAGAAATTAGTAACTGTTGGATACTCGTACTATTGAAATGACACATTCAACTTGAGTCATACAAATACCTCCACAATCAATAAATACAGTAGCTGTAACTGATGAAGAAAACAAAGAAAGGTAGGAATGGATGTAGAGAGCAGAAAGCAACAAATTTAGTAGAGTGGGTGCTATAATCAATGAGCAGCAGCTTGTCTTTGCCTTTCTCATGCCTCTACCATCCAAGTAGGTAGTAGGATATTTAAAAACAATACCACACACAGACAAAAACAGTATCCTCAGGTTCAGGTACTCTTACCCTTCCCACCTCCTGCTTAGATTGGTATTAATCAAAAAAGACTGAGTTTGGGGACATCCTGGTCTACAAAGGGAGTCCAGGACAGTCAAGGCTACACAGAGAAACTGTCTTGAAAAACCAAAACAAAAAAAATAAAACCCCCCCAAAACCAAAAGAGAACTGTAATAACTGATATGAAAAATCTAGTTAGGGGCTGGGGATCATAATCAGTGGTAAAGGAAGTATTTAACATTTAACTGCCAAGAAACCCCCAAACCTAGGAAAGCTTAGCCTTTTATTTACAAATGTACAAGCAGAACAATACAAAATGTCTTGACTTTGCACAATTAAAACTCCCTAGGGAAAGCGAATTAGCACTTACTTCTTAGCTAAGACATCTGGAGTCAAGACTTCGTTGCCTTCCGAATCACTATAGGCCTCTTCATCGTCACCCAGCATACTAGGACAATAAGCATGTTTCTATTAACAAGCACATTATTAAAACTGATACATGAAATAAAATTGTATAGCTAGAAAACCAAGATTGAAAAAAACACTTTCATTATTTAATTAAAATAATTTATTTAGAGGTTTGTTGTCATCTTTGAAATTTAACTTTAAAATAGTTTCTACTCAATACATGTAGTTAGAGGCATAGCACTGGGCTGGGAATTTAAATCAGTAGTACAGTCCTTGCCATACATATATAAGGCCCTAGTTCAATTATCAGCAATAAAAAAACAAAAACAAACAAACAAAAAAACCAACTAAGCTTGGTGGAGCAACCATAAAGTACTAAAAACTCAAAAAATAAACTAAAATTGTCAATTTTTCTATCTGATGCAGATGAACAAATAATGCAAAATAAGCCATTTTCTGGTCTTAGTATTTTAAGAAGAAACTGTCTTGCTACGTAGCCCAGCTGGCCTCAACTTTGTGAGTACCAGAATTAGAATTAGGCACGGAGAATGCTGGGCTGGCTAGCATTTGTGTCTATATTTCACCATTAAGAAGAAAAAGAAAAAAAGGTCTACACAGACATAAGACTAGGAAAATAAACTTAGGTCCTTTGGTAGTTAATTCTGGCTGCCAACTTCACTGGACTAAGAACTGCAGAGAAAGCCAGGTGTGGTGGCACATCTTGTAATCCCAGCGCTGAGGGGCAGAGGCAGGTGGATCAGTCTCAGAAGTGCTTGCTGCTAGTCATGACCTGAGGCTGGTCGGCACTCAACCAAGCCGCTCCCACTACCTCTACTTGAACTCCAAGGGATCTGATTGCAGCTTGTGGCCTCCGCAGGCACCTTCACACATTATATACATACAGACACGTCAACAACAGCAATGAAAAAAAGAAGGAAAAACTAACTAAACTGTGTGTATCAGCAGCTAACAACCACCCGGGTACAGTAAATATTCACTACAACAAAAATGTGAAATTAAACATTATTAGCAAAAATGTATTCAAGTAGACCATTAACTAGCACTCTGGTAAAACACACAAAACACAGATTTAAAAAATCTGTTAATTAGAAGATTGTATCAATGCAAATGGAAACAAGTCACAAAAGAAAGGATGTCTATGTTGTCTTACTTGTGGTAAGGAGTGTTTGGCTCATCTATTTTCATCAAACCATAGTCTTTGTCAGCTGGATGATACGTTGCCAGGATATTCATTTCATCCCACTTCTGGGACTTTTTACTAAAATTAAAAAAGAAAAAAAAAAGCATTTAGTATCCGTATTAAAAATAAAGTTTCATAATTTATATCAGGCGCTTCAAACACTACTATGCTACAACATACTCAGTCTTTAACTGGCCTACAGAAGTAAAAAGTAACAACTAAAAAACAAACTCTTTCTCACTGCCCTATCTTAGTAGTTAAGTGCTTATACATATATACACACATATATACACACACATACATGTGAATGAGTGTTTGGATACAGGGCAGGGTCTCATTATACAGGAATGGCTGACCTGGATCTTGCTATGTAGAGCAGTCTGGCCTTCAACTCACGGAAAACTGTCTGCCTCTGCTGGAATATGAGGCATATGACATAACACTATACCCTGCTAGGAAAGTTTTCTTAATAAAGGAAATCTTGTAACATACAGATACTACTACAACCACAAAAACTACAGCTGGGTTCGCTTTATGTTCTGTTCTGCTTTTTAATTTTTCAAGACAAAACTTTCTCTGCATAGACCTGGATGCTCTGGAACTAGCGCTATACACCAGGCTGGCCTTGAACTCAGAGATCTGCCTACCTCTGCCTCCTGAGCGCTGGGATTAAAATAAAGGTGTGTGCCATCAGACCTAGCTATAGCTTGTTTTCTTTTAAATCTAGAAAATTAAATTTGCTAAGAAACATCAAATCAGGTTTACTTAAATGTAAAAAAAAAAATATTTGGAACATTTTTTTATAAATTCAATAAAGCCATGTAATTCAGGTGCTCCATAATTTAAATCTGTTCATTTAAAAAGGCCTTTTGACTGTATTAGGGCCAACAATACTTTGTTATCGTTTATGACACTACTTAAAAATAAAACTTTTAATGTAAATTTAAAATATTTATTCAAGCCATCCTTTTTGCATTTGGCTGAAATTGGTGAAGTCTTACTGTGTTTTTAATTACCAAAATCTTCAAATGCCTTAAAGAGTTATATACTATTTTTATATTCCAGAACTTTCCTGTGTTTGCAAAGGTATGATGAATCTACACTTAGCAGGTGAGTCTGACTTCATGTTCTCTTATTTTCTAACTTTCAGATTTGAGCATGTTTCACTGTGATAAAATGTACAAAATACTCAGAATTTTAATAATTTATGTGTGTAACCCCTTTGGCACTAAGTAATTTATTTATACCACTGTGCAATCAGCTAGCCCTACTACCCCATTTCAGAACCTTTTCATCATTTCCATGGATAAACTCTACACTTATTTAACAGTAAGAGCCTGTGTCTCCCTTCACCCAGGCCCTAGCAACCATTATTCTCTTTTTTCTGTGAATTTGATTAGTTACTTCACGTAAATGAAATCATATAGTATTTACTGTGGCTTATTTGTTTTCTGTTTGTTTGTTTGTTTGTTTTGGCAGTAGTGGGGCACACCTTTACTCCCAGCACTTGAGAGGCAGAGGCAGGTGGATTTCTGGGTTCAAGGCCAGCCAGAGTTCCAGCCAGGGCTACACAGAGAAACCCTGCCGAGATCCTACTCCCAATCCTCCACCCCCACCCTCATCCTCCCCCCCAAAAAACTGGAAGGGCAAGAGGCGTACATCTTTAATCCCAATGCTCTGAAGACAGGCAAACAGATCTCTTTGAATTCAAAGCCAGTCTGATTTTCATAGTGAGATCCTGTCACAGAAAGTGTTAAAAATTTTAAAATATGCTATAGAATGAACATTTTACTTATTTTTAGAAGAATTCTACTATTATTACTGTGTGTGCATGTATAATGGGGGGGCTAAAGTGTGGGGTCAGAAAACAAGCTGAAGAAGTCAGTTCTCTTGAACTATCTTTATGTGGCAACTGCTTTCACTCTGAGCCATCTCCAGTTCAAGAACAAATATTTAAAACATAATTTAATTGGCTTTCTATTTGTAGCTAAATCTACATTTTCAGAAATTTCATTTTGCTAAATATCTCTACCACCTACAAATTTCTGTTTAGAAGTCATTAGATGTTATTTGCTTAGAAAGCAAATACTTCAGTGCTTACGGATACATCCTAAGAAGCTCACAAAAATACACACCTTTAAAGAATTAGGAAAGAAGGCTAGAGAGATGGCTTATAAATTAAGACGTGTCGCTCTTTCAGAGCACCCAGGTTCAATTCCTAGCACTTGGGCAGCTCACAACTGTAACTCCAGCTTCAGGAGATCCAACCCCTTCTGGCCTCCAAGGACACCAGGCACACATGTGGTGCACAGATATACATGTGGGCAAAACACCCACACACTTGAAAAACGTAAATAAATAAATCTAAAGAATTTTAATTTAAAAAGGCTTAAGACAGAGACGCAATGAAGTCCCAATAATGAGAACTACCTGACTTGGGCTTCTGAGCAGCTGCGGGTTCTTCTGTCTCCACCTCAACACTATGCACAGCACACAGCATTATCTTCCGCATGGTGCTGGGATCGGCTCGGGTCCTCACACTTGTACAGTAAGTACTTTACACACTCAACCGTTCCCAACCCCTTGTAGACTACTTTTTTCTTCAACACAGGGTTTCTCTGTGTAATCTGTCCAGGACTCGAATTGTAGATCTGGCTGGCCTCGAACTCACAGAGATCCGCCTGCCTCTGCCTCCTGTGTGCCAGGGTTAAAGGTGTGAGCCGCTACCACTGGCACATAAGATTTAAGTTTACACTTAATACAGTTCTCTGGATGCATATTATGATTAAATATATTTTAAAAAACTGTGTTTCATTACATTTTAAAAAAATACACTGACTTTGCTGGATGCAACCTAATCTCAAAACAAGCTATTCTTAAATGATGTTAACAATACTGAACTAAAATAAATAAAAATATAAATAAAATTAAATTAATGTAACAAAAAATAAAAACAAAGAAGGACCTAGGAGAGGGCTGTTAAGCCTAGCTACCTGACTTCAGAACCTGTGCTCTGAAGTGGCTGCCACCTGCACTCCATTACATTAAGATGAAACATGGAGATGGGAGAAACAAGAGCAACTAAGCCTACACTTTAAAACGGGGGAAGGAGAGAATGAACCCCTTCAAGCTGTGATTTTCTAAGTGCATGCTCACGCTCTCATACATGAGCGCACACATACACACGACTTTTTTCAAAGAAAGAAATACAACCTAGATCGGTATTTGGAGTTTAAAGGGTATATATGAGAGAAGAGAAAACACCCTATACATTTGTTTTATAAGATACTGACAGAAAGAAAAATATAGAACAAACAGAAATTACATTTTCTTCCTTCAATTTAAACTTTAAAAAGGATTTCTTTTTTTAATTTACTTGCATTGGTGTTTTTCCTGCATGTATGCCATGTACATCTGTGTGAGGGTGCTGGATCCCCTAGAACTGGAGTTACAAACAATGAGCAGCCATATGGGTGCTAGGAACTGAACCCAGGTACTTTGGAAGAGTAGCCAGTGCTCTTAACTGCTGAGCCACCTCTACAGCCCCAAATTAAATTTTCTTAAATTTAAGAATAAAATTTAAAGTATAATCCCAGTACCCTAAACCATTAATAATTTGGATTTTTACATTTTCTTTCCACCCTGTATGTTAAATGATAGAATACATATTTATATATACTTATATAAATATAAAATAGTACAATACATAAAAAGCATACATAAATATATAAGCTATATATACTATATCATAATAGGCCACTTTTGTCTTCTTAATAACTGAATAAAATGTGATATAAGTTACCTAATGTTAGGTATTTAGATATAAGTTAACATTTCTTCAAGAGTGGCAGAAACACGTATTTTTGTATATTCTTCCTTATAATGTTAGGATAATTTGCTAGAAGAGCTTTTTTCTTTTTAGACAGGTTCTTACTGTGCTACCCACACCGGCCTTAAACTTAAGTGATCTTTCTGTGTCAGCTTTCCACACAGCAGCGATTCTAGGTGTGGGTCACTGTATTTGGAATACAAAAATATTTTTTTAAAGACCACATATTCTGTCACTAATAATTACCAAAACATTGCTATAACTGGGTGTTTGTGCTTTTCTAGCGTGGTAAGTACAAACAGGGTTTAAAAGCTGTTCTGTACTTATCACTCATTATCTAGTAACATGACAAATGCTTACTTTACTGGTATGAATTATTTACAGCTTTTGCACAGCAAATGCAAATTCCTCAGATTAACAAAAGGAAAGCATATTACACATAGAAGTTGAATTTACCTGATCTACAACTATGTCTGAATCCCAACTTTTTCCTGTTTTCCATTTACCATGTTCAATTTACAGTATTACATATTCAAAGTTATGCTAACCTTCCTCAGTACAAAATCAGGAGAAAAAGAAATCTTAGAAATGTTCAAATTCAAATTCAAGAAAGATTATCTTGAAAATAAATGTGGGAGCACTAAAATTAAGAATGTAAAACAGGCTCAAAAATTGCTAAGAATTCTTAGGTAAGAAGCGAATGAAGAGAAGAAACTGTCAATAGAGACAATGGGGTATGGGAATTAGCATCCGTAAGGTTTTAGTAGAATTAATGTTACAAGCAGCATTACAAAACCCAAGAAGCAAACCTGAATTCAATTAAAATATTCCCATGAACTATATGACACTTTCTGGGTAACAAATTGCACAGGCAGAAATAGGGTTATTAGGACATGGCAGATGTGCTGTGACAGTCCAGGCACTCGCTGATCTCACGTTGGCCCTCCCCCTTGGATGACTGATTCCCAGATTGTCCTGTAAATCTTGCCCTGTGAAAGTTACTTCTTACTCTCACTTTGTTAGTTCCAATGTTGCAATCTCAAAGATCTCCCAGTGCTCCTTGTTGCTTCTCCTTGCTTATTTGATACTTTTGGCTGTGCTCAGAGTGGCCAGCCTGCTTTTCCGTCAAAGTACTAAAATTTAATTTCACATTTCAATCAACAGGTGTCTTTTTTAGTACAGATTCAAGACTTTGAAGCCTGAAACCACAACTGAAATTAAACCATAAACCAAGACTTAAAAAAATAAAACAATGGGAGCAAACAAAATGTAACTTTTAGGAAATAAACTTTTTATTTTAATTAGATTTGACTTCAACACTCCTCATATTTGAGTTAGACAGAAAGACAGAGCATAATTATATCTTAAATTATATCAATGGAATTCAAGCACCTTAGGGTGTTGGGGGTTCAATTTAGCTTAGACTACCCTTGAACTGGCTATGTAGCTAAGGATGACCATGAACTCACTTCTCATACCTCCCCACTTCCCAAGTACTGATGTTATATGTGTGGCCTCTGTCCCTCTCTCATGCAGAGTTTTTAAAAGCTGAATTTACCTGATCTATAACTACAACAGAATCTGGACTGCACTGGCTAGCAAACTCTGAAGTAGACTATGTAAAAGAAACTGACAGACATGAAAAATTAGATTTCTGCATTTCTGTATCAAGACAGTTAAGAGTAGGGTACTGGGCTCAGTATTTTAACTCATCTAAGACTTATACTAAGATACAGATAAACGCATAATTCATTGACAGCTAATAAAACTAATAAACTAATAAAATCAGTGAGTAGTGCATAAGATTCAGATTAAGCACTAAACTATAACTTCTCCTAAGACAGGACACAGTTACATTTAACATACTTTCAGTAGCTGTAAACAAACATTTTCACTCCATATTTGAAAAATTTCCTTCAAATGAATAGCATCTTATAATCTTAGAATTCTTTTTCTGGTGATAGTATCTTAGAATCAAAGACGTGATGTTTTCAATGAATTGCACAAACACTCACTCTAGATGCTAACTTAGGCCTTTGTGATACGTGTACTACACTGGAGGTAACCACAATGGGAATTCCACAATTACAGCGCAGTGGTTTTCAAAACAGTTGAGCAGTGTAGGTACCCTGTTGCAAAGTGCTGTACTTAACCTGCCTAAATATATGGATTTGTTTGTGTTTTGAGACAGGGTTTCTCTGTGCAGCCCTGGCTACCCTGGAACTCCTTTGTAGATCAGGCTGGCCTCAAACTCAAGAGATCTGCCTGCTTGTGTCTCCTGCTGGGAGTAAATGCAGGTGCCACCAAGCCCAGCTTGACTATCCATTTTAGATTAACCCCCTAAAACTAATCCATAATATATGTCACCTGAGGAAACCACTCACCAGAACCAATAGTATTAATTCGATCAGAACAAGAAAATAAAAGCACCCATCAGAAATATGTTGGTGGGTACCTGTTGTCCTCTATCTCTAGAGGTTAAGGCAGGAGAACTGCAATTCCAAGGGTAGCCTAGGTTACTAGTTTTGGGTTTTTTTTAATGCAATAAATCAAGTAACGATTTGCTCACTTTTGAGAGAAAAAAAAACTGAATAAAAACAACCTAAATAAATGCTAAAGACTATTAGAAACAACAACCTGAAATTTACAAATCTTACTTCACCTATACATTGCTCTTTAAACAAAACTTTTTGCCTGTGTGTGTGTGTGTGTGTGTGTGTGTGTGTGTGTGTGTGTGGCGCGCGAAACCCTGGACGTCAGCCCTTGCCCTCCGTGTCTGAGACTGCATCCCTATTTTTTCCCCCGAGTATGCCAGGCTGGCTGAAGCTCAAGGTTCTGGGCTCCAAGAATGTTTCCTCTGACTCCCACCTCCCACCATAGCACTGGGGTTAGAGATGTGCATGCCCTCTCAGCTGCTCTTACATTAGGTCTGGGGATTCAAACTTAGGTCCTCACACTTGCACAAGCAAGTGCGTTACCCACCAAGCCACCTTCCTTAGCTCCTATATTGCTTTAACAACTAGCAGTATATATGCAGGTATACATAGACATATTTGAAGTGTATTTGAATTTATCCTTTAAAAAACTCTCAGTAATTAATTCCTACATAAGATATCTTCAGTAACTGAGGTGGGTGAGAAGGACAGTGATGAAGCAATTGCATTTTACATGATAAAGGCATGCAACTCTTATCTGCAGGTTCTCTATTTGGGAATTTTCTTACTGGAGTCCATCTATCATCGAAACGCCAATACTGAAGGTAGTTTAGTGGTTGCACACAGACATCAGAAGAGTAGAAAAAATTTGAACTGTCTACGAGGAACACGTTGCCAGCCGTGGCCAAATATGGCAACACTCTGCTTGTTGCTCTCAGACTCTCAGTGCAAGAAAGCCATGCTGTGAACTGACAATGGATACGCTTCATCCAGGCATGGGTGCTATCGGCCATGAATTAACTAAATGATAGTTAATAAACACTAGAAATTAAATAAGGTGTTTTTAAATAGAAACACAGAAAACAAGGTTAAGTAATGATACATGATGACAATGCATGGCCAGCGGCTTGGGAGAATAACCCCTAATTTCCTCTAGGGTTAAGGACTCAACGCTGAGTTAAGGACAAGAATGCTGAGCATCCGTGGGATGACAGTAACACAATTACTAGAGTAACAGCAATCAACTTAGATCTCTGGCTGTTCTCACATTAATATGATGACCATCTGGTTATATACTGCTCTAAAATTTCAATTTAGACTGGCACGCTACCTTTGTGTTTCTGGATTCTGAGTACATCATAACTGCAAGAACCACTTATTTTTAGTCTTTTTAAATATCAGATTGGGGTTATTGATTTTAATGAAGTCAAACATTTCAAATGTATTAAACCACATTTTATCGTTTCTGTTAAAAGATGTTCTATTAATATTGCTTGCATGAATTGTGATAATAACATATAGTTTTACTACTGTAATTTCTTTGCTTTATCATCTTCCAAAAGTGATTTTGAAAACACTTACCTTTTACCAGCTGGAACGATACATCATGAACTTCAATGAATTAAGAGTTTGGTAGTGGCTGCTGAACGAGGGATACAACTACAGTCAAGCAATCAGTCAACTAGCTTATAAAACCCTTTTTAAGTGAATCTGCCCTACCAGGAACTCTTTCAGAAGAAGCACTTTATCTAATGGAGACAGTCTCATTTAGTAGCATCAAGGGAAAAGGGGCGGGGGGAGCCCTGACTATAAATCTATATAAAAATCTTGGGCAACCATGGGAATCAAGAGAGATTAACCTATAGTGATCTAGATTCCAGATTCCAGTGCATAAAATTTGAGAACGCATGGGCAGTTAAGAGCACCTAGTAGTAGGAAAAAAGCTGCCCGAATAAGTCAATGAGAACCCATCCTACTGCTTAATATTCAAGCTAGGCTAAGTGCCTTCTGTGGTTACTTCTTTTCAAACATCTTGATCTTACTATTGCTACACTGTGGCATTCTATTTTTCCCATGACACACAGACACTGTCAAATCCCTTTAAAGCAGCTCAAAGTAGAGGTTGGAAAATTGTACTTAAAGGAGAGTAACAGTCAAACCTAAAGAAGGGGGCAGGGGGTGTTGCTGGGCAAGGCTAAGCCCCTTCCTAGCCTCTGCGAACTCACACACACCACTGTCTTCAAATTTTCCATAAACCTGTTTCCAGCTAGTTACTGTTACAATTCTAAATTAGATCCTTAGTATAGGAGTGTCCTAGTTCTAATAGCCTAAGATTTCATCAGGATCCTCATTTTAGTGCTACTACTAATTTCAGTAACTTTTCTTAAGCCTTATTTCTGAATTCTTATAGTTTTGGTAACTCATTATCTCCAAGCCCCCTTACTGTCTGACCCAGTGGTATAGTTAGTTATAGTTATATATTGTACTGTAACATTCCTTTCATTGAGCACTGATCCCTGGGTAGTTTTCCCTGTGGCCAGAACACCTTCCCCTCCCCCCGGATCAGGCTAGTATATTGTTCCACTATACAAATGTACCGTAATTAATATTTCACTAGTTCTCACTAATGGACCTTGGATGGTTTCCAGGTATTTACTATATCACACACAATGCTTTACTTCAGTATCTCAAGTTTCTTTTCTCTCAAGTGTTCTGAGTTTAAATATACCGAACAGGACACAAAACTAGAAAGCACCTAAAACTCTAGCTGACGGTACAAAAATACTTAGCAGTAATAACTTTCCACTAAACACAGATCAATGACTTTTAACATTTTTAGTTTCACTTAGTGCCGAGATAATGACAAACCAGGAACCGAGAGGACTAACGCGGTAAGATGCTTAGTTGGGAAATGTGTTTATGTTTGTGGTATTTGTTTTTGTTTTTGTTTTGTTTGTTTGTTTTTAATCTCATTAGCTGAACCTATTGAAATTTAAGGACAAGAAAGTAAACCTTGGCTCAGGCGGCGAGATGAGAGATTAACAGTTAAAGCTTTGGAACTTCAATTTGATTTCCTTAGTGTTCCCAACGACGAAAAGTTCAAAAGCCAGGTTTAAAATGTGCACACGCACTTGAGAAATAAAACGCGACAAACGCCCCGGCCGCTGCCGGCTCCGGCTCCCTCCACCCCGCGGCCGGCCCGGGCCGGGCCGAGGTCGGCTCCCCGCAACCGCCCGTCCGCCGGGGAGGAGCGGCTTGCAGGCCGGGCTCCCGGCGCTCACCTCAGCTCCTCTTCGACGCTCCGGCTGGGATGTTCGGCCGAGGACACCACCGGGGAAGCCGCAGAGGTCTTGTTCTTCAGGATTCCCTTGATGGGCCGGTGGGAGGCCGTCGACGCCGCCATGGCTGCTCGCCCCGGGTGTCGGCTCAGGGTCGCTGCCGGCGGGCGGTGCCGGAGAACGGGTGGGCGCTGCGCAGACCCTCCAGGCAGCCCGGAGCCCGGGCCGGGCTAAGGCAGCCGCACCCGCTGTCGCGGAAACCACCACCGGCGTCACTGGCACCGCACAAGGACTGCAACGCCACAGCCGACGCCGCGCGGCGGGCGGCCCTTCGCCGCCGGCACAGCGGAGGAGGCCGGCCTAGCCCCAGCGCGGGAGCGACGCGGACGCCGAAGCCCAGCTCGGCACGCCCTCTCGCGATATCTAGAGCGGGGCGGGGCGAGAACGAAGCCGGCCTCCTAGCTCCGCCCATCCCCGCCCCGCCCAGCCATGCCCCGCCCCGCCCCGCCCCGCCCCGGTGTTCTCCGGACTCCGTCCTGGCGCTGTCTGTAAACCCACAGATCTGCAGGACGGATTTGAACTCTGTCCAACAAGCACTCTCTCCCATCGCCGTACGAAGCCTTGTTGATATTTCTGTTTTATGCCAGAAAACTGAGGCTCACGGGTGACATCACTCCACAAACCTAAGAGATGTTAGCTGAGCCGGGCGGAGGTGCTCATGCCTGTAATCCCAGCACTGAGGAGGCTGGCGGATCGCTGTGAGTTCGAGGCCAGCCTGCTTACAAAGTCAGTCCAGGACAGCCAGGGCTACACAGAGGAACCTCCTTCACTCCCTCATCCCCTCCCCCCAAAATAAAACTGGCTGAACTATATAGCTCCTATTTCTATTTAACTTCTGTAATTTTTTTTTTTTTTTTTTTTTGAGACAAGGTCGTTCTATGTTGACCAGGTTGGTCTCGCACTCAGATCTACGTGCCTCTGCTTCCTGAGTGCTGGGATTAAAGGTCTATGCCACCATACCCAGTCCCTCATAATTTAACTCCCTATTATAAAATCATGGACTATTAGTATTAGAATGGTCCTCAGAGATCTGTTATGAACCCACTGAACAGTGACTTCTATGATATCATAAAAAGCCTGCATTAGAAGGCTCTAACCTCTTTATACCTCTGGAGAAACTAATGGACAGGGAACAGAAAAAACGGCCACTTCCGTGCAGTCTGTAAGGCAAAGGCAGTTTGGCAACAGGGAGCAACAAGACACCAGAAGTCAGGGGAGCCGCTTGCCACAGGTTCAAACTCCCGCTGCCTTCAGAGGAAGCCAAGTCCCCTGCGCTTAATTTGGGGATTCGGGCCCCAAGTACATTTCTGGTGCTAAAAGCTTCTTGGGTGTGGAACTTCACTGTCCCACCTCCTTCATTCTTCAACTTGGTTATCCTCCAGCCGTTTTCCACCACTCACTCCTGAGCAGGCCTCTCACGAGATCTAGGACAGGCCGGGGCAGACTAAGGCACGCGGCAGCGCTATCTCCATCAGGAACCTTAGGCTGGTGGTGTCTGGTGGGAAGTTTGTCACTGGGATACCCATTCCAGCTACTACAGAGCCAGGACTTCCTCCCCTCCCCCAGCTCTGACTCTAGAAGCCCGGACAGAGGGGATTCCTCACAGCTTCGGTCTGCTGGGTGGGGGGTGGGGTGCGGAAAGGTTCTACTCTTCTGCCTTTGTGCCTAGAAGACAATACTCGGTTTGGTGCTCCTAGGACTCTGTTCCTGAGAACAGCTTCGGGTTTCCTGAGCCTGTTCAGATTTTCCAGGCTGGCCCCCGGCTGAGTTCCTGCCAGGGAAAGGCCCCAGTAAGGGAAGGAATGCTGATGGCGATAATGGAGGGGAAGTGCGCAGGAAGGGAAGCAGCTTCACTGATCATATTGCTGAGTGTGTTCTCCTGGGATTTCTGAGGCAGAAAGCTATGACAGCAGGCCTTGGCTTGGGGCCCACCTGTCTAATGTTTCCTACTGCCCTCCTTCCTCCTAGGCTGGGGCCTTCCAGTAGATCTCCTGTTAGAGCCTGTCAGCCAGCTCTAAACCAGGGGTGAAGAGTGTTTTGTGCTGGGGAAGCAGTGCGCTGCCTCTTCTTGCTCTGCTTCCAGCACGTGTGCGGCCCCTCCTGTCCCGTCAGAGCCCAACTCAGCACTGATCATCTTGTTTTGAAGAGAAGATACAAAACTTCTTTCATGTTCATAATTACTGGGTCATTCGCTTTGTTCCTGCTTGGCTAAACTGAACTGTGACTGGGCTCATAATTAAGCGCGTTGCCTGGCTTGGAGAAAGGGAGCCCTCTAAAGAGCAGGTCTGCTTCTGCCACAGCTTGACATAATGTGGTTTTTTTTTTTTGTTTTGTTTTTGTTTTTGTTTTTTTACAGTAAGCTAAAAAAAACTAAAAGACACTGGGAGAAGGTGAGTTCTCTTGAGGAGCCTTGGGAAACATTTCCCTCATCCAAGTTAGACTTTTGCTTCATTCAGTGCTTGATCCCGCTAAAAGTGAATACGGAGGCAAATTCCTTACCTGGAAAATAGCATGGGAGTTTGGCTGCAAGCTTTTGAGTGCCCGGAACGTTTTAGAACAGTTTATTCCTCAGTGTAGCCAAAAGATCTCCAAAAGCCTCCATCAGACAGAGCTCCCTCCTCCTTCTCCCATGAAAGCTCTTGAAGGAGGAGGTCATCTGGAGCCAATGTCACCGGCACCGGCACCACATTTTATAGTATTTGTGCTGCATTTCCTGCATGACTGCTTCGAGGTGGAACTGACCTGCGCTTGATCCCCAGGCTCCACATGGTGAAAGAACCAGCTCCCACAAGTTGTCCTCTGACCTCCACACACGTGTGTATAAGCACACACACACACACACACACACACACACAATAAAATAATTTAAAAATTAATATTGAACAAGATTGTCTGCCAGTCATTATTGTTCTGCTTTGAAGATTTCATGGTGGTTGCTAGACCCAAGGCAGCATATGGAAGGGGAAGAGATATGCTTTAATGTGCTCTCGCCATGCGGCTGAGGCAGCTGACTTTCCATCCCTTGCCTGGACTACTCTGGCCAGCAGCGCTGGAGTTCCCATTGCAAGCAGAACTCTAAATTCCAAAGCTGGAAATGGTTTCGGTGGCTGGTTTCATCCTGCCAGGCTAAGCTGTTTACCTCAGATCCATGAGAGTGCCCCATCCCAACCTCTGGAAAATACCCAGAGGTTATGACTTAGTGACCACTGAGTCAGCAGTGGCTCTCTGTTTGCCTGGAATAGCACAGTGTCCTCTTTCTTTTCAGGTAATTCCTTCCTGGGCAGGATGATCACAGATTTTGCAGGGGCGACATTATCTGATCAGAATACAAAAAGTATTAGAGAGACAGAGCACCAAAAAAGTGCCAAGAACAAAGTTTAATTGTTCTCTGCTTTGAAAAATAGCTTTGATGTGCACAGCGTCCCCAGGACTCTGCTCTTCAAAGACGGAGTGCCACAGAAGCTTGGGAGTGGCCAGGACAGCTTTTCTGAGACAGCACACAGGCGTTTCTCAGGACACAGAGCTTTCACTGGTCTTTGGATGTTCCCTGGCCCTTTAAAAATAAGGTAGATCCAAAGAATCTGGCCAAGTAGTCCTTTTCAAAGCCTATGAGACCCATTCTGGGAAGAGGCAGGATAAACTGCAGCGATTTGGAGAGTGGTTAGCAGAGATGTGAATTCGTGCTTTGGCTAAGTTTTGAGTTTGTCTTGTCCTGGTTAGAAATTACTCCAGTGTTAGGTTTTTATTGGCTTGGTTTTGTTTTTTGTAACTGAAAAATTTTCACACTTGTTCACTGGTTTGATTTGTAAATTATTGAAGAAAATAGGAAAAGAATGACATATAACTCCATTGTGTCAATTTGGCCAGATTAGATTGTATTGTATTATTGTATAAGCTCACAAAGGAGTAGAGTCATTTCAAATACAGAGGCTGGAGAGGGAGAACATGTTCTGATCATGGACCAGGTCCTGGGTTCTAGCCTCAGCACCCTTCTCACCTACCCACACAAAAGTTACAGGGCTGATGAGGTGGCTCAGTGAGTCAAGGCCACCAAGCCTGGTGACCTGAGTTGACTCCAGAAACCCACATGGTGAAAGGAGAGAACTGACTCCCACTGGTCTCATGTATGTGTGCACTACAGCACACGTATGCACACACAATAAAATGTAAATAAAATTAAATAACACCAAACCCCAGGCTACATGCGATGTGAGGTACAAATACTTCATGGAGAACTTTAAATGCTTTGAAGCCCATATAGTCATTATTTATAGCAGGAAGTGTTTCCTGCTATATTTGCATTTGTCCTACTTAGAGATTTCTCAAATACGTAATTTTATTCTTTTACCAAATAATTTGTAACTTTTGGACACTCCGCTTCTCTGTCCATTTGTCTTTATGCTGCTCTCATATTTTCCAAGAAACTGGGTTACAAAATGATTTTTACAAGTTAACTGCTTTGCTATGCACAGTGTTAAAGATCAGAACAAACAGTGCCTCTCTCCTCTGTTTGCTTAAGGAACTAAGCATTTAGTGACTGCTTATTACCTAAGCTAAAGTCAAAACCCCATGAGCCTTCACAAACTGATTTCATATGCTTCTCTAGATTCATTTCTTCTCTTAAATAATAGTTTTATTAATTTTTGAGAATATTATGCAATGTATTTTGATCACATTCATCCCTCCCTCCTTTCCCCAACTCCTTTCAGATCCACCCCCACCTCCCCATCCACCCAACTTACTGCTTTTTCTCTCCTTCATTTTTAACCATCACAAATTCCTTTTTATATCAACTTCCCTTCCCTATGCTCTTTGCCCTGGTTACACCATCTTTTAAAAGGTGCCACTGTATCCCAAAACACAGGCCTTGTCTCCAATGTAAAGCACATAAGCTAAATGATTGAGCCAGATGTGATAGTGTATGCATATAGGACTAAGTAAGAGGGAAGCCACAATGTTAGGACAACTTAACCCAGGGAGATCCACTAAGTTATGTAGTAAGACCCAAACCAAATTAAACCAAATCAAACCAAAAATCCCACCTGGTTAACACAGTAGGAAAATACACTTGTAAAAATAGTGATTTGGAGCTGGTCGTCATGCTACACACCTGTAATCCCAACACTCAGGGAGGCAGAGACATGCCAATCTCTGTGAGTTAGAGACCAGCCTGGTCTACAAAGGAAGTCCAGGACAACCAAGGCTACACAGAAAAACCCTGTCCTTAAAAAACCAAAAAAAAAAAAAAAAAAAAAAAGAAAAAAAGATCACTTGGCTCTCATAAAGCACAGAAACAAAGATGAGAGAGACACACAGAAAGAGGTGATATGTGTTGTCTGTC